TTTATATGTAAAATAAAACTTTGTTAAAATGACCCTTATTATGTAATTCGTTTGCCCCCAAAGTTCTAAACATATATCCTTAACCAATAAATATATTTAAAAACATATTCTGAGCAGCTTTAATAATTATTGCTATAGAATAACAATTGTGTATTTGGTGTGAATATTGGTTAAAATGATAAGACATGTACTTATAAGTTAGAACAAAGGTATATAACTTGACGACAAAACACTAAAACACAAATAAATCAATTAAATGCATTTTTTCTGACATGCAATACAGGAATACATTCAGTCTATAAAGCGGTATATTTTGTGTCAAAAATGTTAAATCTGTATCCAAGACAACAGAATTGGGTAAAACTTTTTACTTTGCATTTATTTTTCTATGTTTTCTATTCATTCGTTGAATATTTGTCTGTTTAATGAGAATTACAACAAATTTCTTCACAACAACAGAATATTCTTAGAAAATATTCTCATTAGCGATCATGTGATGAATTATTGTTGCATTCATTGGAAATTAAACCAAATGTAAAATAAAAATATTTTTGTAAAATATTTACAGAATATAAACTCAATTTTATTTGTGATTCTGTGTTTGTATTGTTGTGAAAGTTTTATTATTAATACAACCACTAAAGCAAGTGATGGGTTGTGGGGCAGCGAAAGCCGTACAAACCATTGAAGACAATACAAACAATGCTAATGAAAATAAAGCCAAATTGAATGAACAAAAAACCGCAACCAATGGTGTCATCAATAATAAGGCTTCAAACGGAACCAACGGAACCGCAGCCGGACCTCGAAGAATGTCCAGACCTATGACACCGGGTTTGTGTTTGCATTGAATTTTACAATTATATAATTTAAAAGTGCCTTTTGTTTTAATTATTTGTTATCATGATTCATTACAGTTTTTAGTGTCTTTATATTAATTATTAGATTATTTTATTAAGGCGAAAAGAAAATAATATTTAAACAATATTTATTGATAACAATCACAAAAATTATAAATATAAAAACTGAACAAATACTAGTATAGTTAGAGTACAAATATGATCAAGCATTGAATGCAATTATCATTTTCACTCAAAAACACTCATTTAATTTTTCACACGTTTTTTCTTTATAATCACTATAATGTCTATCACTTATGTTTATGTCGTTATAAATTAATTAGTTTTAATAATAATAATAATACTGCTACTATTAAAATTTAAAAATACGATGTAATTTATAATATATTTATAAATTAGATAATAGTAATTACAAATTGAAACAATTATTAGGTCCTTATAATAGCAAAGTAAAGCCGAAATTATTACCTCCGCCTCGAACTGGGCTTTTATTAAGAGCTCGACAGACAATTGGATGTATGATTGCATTGATTTTATGTTATTTATTTTATTATGATATAAATTAGCGTGAATTATGTGAACATGTTCATATTACTTGTGTTTACTTTTAATAATTATTAAAATTGATATATTAATGATTTGTTGACTTCAGTACCAAAACCGGTGGCTTTTGAGATACCCCTCGACGACGACGACGACGGCGGCGGCGGTGAGAGTCCCAAACCCGCGACCGTTTCGGCGGCCGAACCGTTAAAATTGCCGCCAAAACGGTTGCTAACGTTAGCCGAACAGCCGATACAACACTTGTCGGCCAAACAATTGACAGAAAAACAGATGAAAGCGGAAGAAAAACGGCTCGAATTGCTGTCGGAAAGGAAACTTCGATGTCATAAATATAATGAAAAGTTTTTACTGCAAACTAATAGCGAAAACCAAAACAACGATTTAAATATCATTAACGATAGAGACGTCCCGACGAACGAGAAAAAGGTTTGTTTTTCAATTTGAATGTTTATTTCCTAACTTTAATACTTTCTTTTTGCTAATGATTTAATGAATTGCACAACAATTTCGCATTCAATCAAAATATTGTGAATACTGTCTTAATGTAATGGTTTTTTATATAGAAAAAAGACATTTAACATATTAATGACAATTTCATAAAATGTTTGCAATATTTTTGATATTCTTTAGGGAATTAATTGATATTATTGTTTTATGTTTATAACAAAACATATTTTTATTTATATTATTACTTTATTATATATATTTATATAAGAGATTTTGCAAATTATTAGCTAAATTTTTGACTATATTTATCAAATATAGTTTGATAAATAGATTATTATATTCTGTGTCCCAATGTTTGGTCACAAAGTCTTAACTATATTTCTTTTCTCAAATAGATGTGCAAATTATGTGCAAATTATGTGCAAATTATGTGCAAATTATATGCATAATTTCTAAAGGATTATTTTATAGGGTATTATATATTATGGTAATTGTGTGAATGACCGCTAAAATACTGTGCAATATGTTCATTAATATAGTTTTTTAATTAAAAATCTTAATATACATCGAGTTAAATGAAATTGTATTTTTGTTACTTGTAATCAATTTGATTAATGTTTTGTTGTTATGTCAAACACACACAGAATGAAGAAAACGTAACAGAAATTATTAATGGGATTAACAATAATGTGAAAAACATCACATGAATTGCTTTTACACATAGAAAAGAGTGACAGAAATAAAAGGTAAATATTTTAGCATAACTTTTAGATCGATATGTATTGACTCGTTTTTCTACCATTTATTATATCAAACATTTATTGCAATTATTGTCCATTTTATTTATTAACAACTAAAACATTATACACGCAATTACTGTTAGTATAATACATACTATGAATTAAAAAGTTAGGTATTTATTGTATTTTACTAGTCATTAATCAAAAATATTATTTATTTAATATTTAAGAAATATTTAGTTTAATGCAAATTCTATTTAAATATTTAATAATACAATAATCATAATCAGTATTACAAATGAAAGCTTTAATTATTTTATTGATTTACAATAATATTTTGTACTTAACATAAACTCTTCGATCAGATTATACTTTAATTATCGGTTGATATTTTATATGAAATTTGTTTATAATTAATACTAATAATACTTTATTACATAACATAAAATAAATTATTATAATAAAACATAAGTATTTTACTCAAAGAATTTATTGATAATTATTATTACAATTAATTATTGGTATTTAAAGTGAACAAAAGGAAAAGAAAGTATAAATGTTATAATTTGTCAAATAATGCAAATGATTGTACATATAATGTGTTAAAAATGTCTCAATTTGTGACATAATAAGCGAATTAAAAGTTTTACTACCAAACGAGGCATTCAATAAGCATTAAACGCACAAATCTATAGACTTTATAGCATATAACAAACAAAATACAAACTATTGATAAAACAATTTAAATATAATAGACTTTTTAGGAGAAAACAATTCAAATCAATGGCATATTAAAAATAAGGTTTATATGAAAAATACTTTAATCTTATAAAATATTAGCTTTTATAACAATATTGGATTATATATTAAATAATGTGTAATTGGAGTCATACTATGGCTGCCGACCCCTACCCTATCGGGGCTTTAGTCAATTTGGCAAAATAACCGGCGCTTAACTATAACGGCGTTCATTTGCGCCAATAAATGGGACACTTGTACCGATTTGGAAGTCATCGGGTGTTTATACAACTCATAAGCGATTAGTATTTTGTCCCGAATTCTGTCCACTCTTCGGTCGTTCAATGCTTCGTCTCTAACGCTGTTGACGATTGACATTAAACTAATGGCCGCACATATACTATGCCTATTGTCGTGGGGGTCGTCGGTCTCGCGCTGGCAGTGGCCGTCCATGGCATCGCATAAATCGTCAAATGTCTTACAAACGGCTCGAAACGTTAGGTCCAGTTCTTCGTCACCGAAATATAGACCATTCGGACGTATGATATGTTCAAAGCTATAATCAAATGCCATTTAATGGTTAAATCGCTAAAAGGGTACACAAAATGTATCCAAATTTGGGCGAGAAATGAGTTACCGGTTTAGGTTTGAGACGATGACCAGAACGAAGAGCTCATTCACCGAATCCTTGATTAGTTTGTGTTGAACCCAAGGACTCAATTCACGGCACGCATCGATAGATGAGATAAATTGGCGCACATTTGACTCCAAATTGATTCTCATTTGATTCAATACAATCAGAAACGAGTCGTTAGTATCGTTACGATTGTTATTACTGTCCGAACCGGCGGTCGATTCCTCAAAGTTGGCCAAAACGATGTAATCGTTAAACGATTGGTTCACTTGACTCTTGAAGGCGACCAACTCGTCGGCGTTCATCAGCATCGAGTCGTTGCTGTCCTCATCGGTGTCCACGTCATTGCGTCCTCTGTTGGGCTCAATCTTGACGCAGAGGTCGGCCCGCATTCCCATCTCCAGACACTTCTGATAGCGACACCGCTTACAGCACTTGCGACGAGTGCTGTCGTTAGTGATGAGACACCGGTTCTGACCATTCATTCCGATGCAGCGATACATCGACTCATTCTTATAACAGATGATACGCCTGAAGAAGCCTTTGCAGCCCTCGCAAGTGACCGCTCCGTAGTGTCGACCCGAAGACACGTCGCCGCAGACCACACATGACTGGTCCGTCGTGTCGGTCGCGTCCGTCGCGTTACTGCTGCCCACCGAAGACCTCCCGTTATCGCCATTATTACTGCTATTTCCGATGTCCGACATATCTATAGAGGTGTTACCGGAGATGGTATGCGTTGGCAGCAATGGCAGTGATTAGTGGCAGACAATGGCATTGATATCAGACTTACAGCTGTTTTGCGATGAAATGGATGACATTTGTATGGCTTGTGTGGACACGTGTTGTCGCGAATGTTGTGCTGAAGTAGTGATCGATTGATTGCTTTAGAACTGCGTTTCAACTCTTCATTCACTGACTCTTCACTTGATTGCCAGTCAAAGCACAAGACATTACTTGTCATATATAACGTGCCATTAATGGGAGCGACGGTCAGTGCTGTGCGTATTGTATGGCTATTGGGGGCACACTTTGGGGGCAATAATTGTGATTAATATTTGCATAAATTAAATGTACTTTTGATGCAAATATGAATTGACTTTAAGTATAAAGTATTATATTATATAAGAATTATTGTAATTGTAATTAAAAACATGTTTTTCCAAACAGGGAATAAATGATGAAATATGAGTGTATATGATTAGCATGATGAGCATGGTCACATATACGACATATTTGTGCCAGTCGATAGTGACATACAATACTCAATACATTTCTAATGGATTAATCATTTAAATAAATATTTAAACTTTTTTGCGCCAAACATATGGTATAAAAAGTTTGACACGAACTGAATATTACATGTTATACTGTATTGCATTTACCATTACATTATCGAAATAATGTTTAATTATTTGTAATTAAAAATCGATTGCAAAAATTCAATTTTTATGTTTTATCACCAGTTAGAATTTATAAATGATTTATTGTGAATAATTTAAAATTTGATTTTTATTTTTTTAAATACTTACAAAAAATTTAATTAATGTAAAGTATAGACAAAAGTTGATTAAGAAAATATAAATTGTTTTATTCATCAAATGTTCATGTTACAAAACTACAATACAATTGAAATAAGAGTTCAATTCTATATGAACTGGCAATAAATTATGGATCTTGTATTTTAATGACAACTTTTCCAATATTGCGGCCAAAATGCAAATGCTATGAAATATATCGATTTTAATTCATTACAATTATTACAATAATTAAACACAATATTATCTATACCTCCACTCCTCTGACCACAGAATCAATTCCATTGAATTCTCCTTCACTTGACTTTTGGCCAAAATCNAATTATTAGTTAAAAAATATAAATTGATTGATATTTACCTCCACTCCTCTGACCACAGAATCAATTCCATTGAATTCTCCTTCACTTGACTTTTGGCCAAAATCTAAGACAACTCGCAATTTATTGCTCACAACGTCTCCAACCAATTGTTTCAAATATTTGGGGACCAAGTGTTTGAAATTGAATAAATAAAATCCTGATAAAGTCTTAGAGCCTCTCAATAACTGTAAAATTGCAATCATTATTAATTTATTGGCAAAACTCATTTTGAAACTTACTTTAGCCTGAAGATTATCAATGGGTGCGCCGCCAACCCCTTCAGTCTTGTACCCACTGATAGAGCCCACAAGAATTAATCGCCCATGCACAGCTAAATGGCTAAATAATGTCTCAAACACTTTGCCTCCAATTGTCTCCCAAATCACATCCAATCCGTCCTGTATTTCATATAAGTTTTGATATAAATAACAATTTTAATCAATATATAAATCAATATAAAACCGGAAACTCTTTAGTGAGCACTTCATCCAAATTCTCGGTCTTATAATTGATCACTCGATCGGTTCCCAACTCTTTCAATAGTT